ACCCCCCACCCACCCACCCACACATAAATACCAACCAGTTCCCTTAAATACGTGACCAACTGACTGATCTATAAGTAATGACATTGTCTATGGGAGCAGATCGGGGTCGGGGGTCATGGGGTTAATAGGTCAGTGTAGCACTACAGTAGGGCTGGACAATGAGTCGCTTTGGCAAAATCCGGATAATAATATGTTAGCGCACCTCTTCGGCGATTAAATGTGTTTTGAACCGCTTCGGCGAATGGGGTTAGCATCACTGACTTCAACAAATGGGTGGTACACCCACTTCGGGGAACGAGTTAGGAAAGAGAGTTTATGATGAGGCTGATTTCGGATAATGTTTCATTGAGAATTATCCGGTTATCCAGTTGTTTCCCACTTCTCCACAAGTATATCGTGTGGTTCAAATCACGCCCCAGGTAATTACTGTGGGCGATTGGCGGGTGCTCTGGTGGGGTTTGCTCTAGGCATTCTTTGAACTGATAAAGACTAGGGGATTAATCGTGGGTGGTTGGCGGGTGCTCTGGTGTGGTTTGCTTCTTCTTTCCTATCAAACATCTATTGTCTTTATCTCCCCTCCTTCTTTTTTACGTTTGTTACTCTCTTGTAACACCTCTAATCTTCTGGCGCTCATATGACCTTATGCAGTTGCGAGGGCCGTAAAACCTCTACTAAAACTAAACTAAGACTAGGAGATTAATTTCCTCACTGTTTCCCATCCAACATCTGTCGTCCTTGTCTCTCCTCCTCTTGTTTCTTCGTATAGATATTGTAACACTTTAGTGACACTTCAGATCTTTGGCACTTATATGTTGTATCTGTATTGTATTGCAAATGCCGTAAAACTCGTATTGCTAAAACTATAGACAAAGTCAATCCAAGTAATGATTCAATTAATGATTCTATGGTTTGCGGATAGCTTAGGTCATATTCGGTGAAAATGTTGGGAAAAAGGAAAGTGGAGGAGGAGGGGAGGGGGTGGACGTTACGGTTCGGGGAATGTTCTCTTTTTCCCCCGTTCGTATTTCGTTTTTTAAATTTCATTATAAATGTATCATATTGATTATATATACATTGTTAACCTTTTTTTTTTACTTGTTCCCTTTGTTTGTACGTACATGTATTTGAGAGAGAGAGAGAGAGAGAGAGAGAGAGAGAGAGAGAGAGAGAGAGAGAGATTCAACTTCAATTTTTAAATCTGAATTTGACTTTGGCCATCAGCAGAATTGAGAATGAAAAAAAAAATGCATCCTCTCTGTACTGACAAAAATAGACTTAGTGAATGATTTACTATTTAGAATAGGTCCTAATGTTAAATGGAATAAACTTACTGAACATCAAGTTTATGGATTTCCCTGAGAAGTTCTGACTTTTTAGCATTTTCCGACTTTTTTTTCAGAGCTGATGTCTGGACGTCTCCTCCTGCTGCCTGTTAATGAAACCACACACATACACATGATCATTCTTCTTGTCATTAATTCAGTATGCAAAAAACAAGAACTTTAACACAGTCACGCAGACCAGAACATCGATCAGTGCGCTGTGTGACTGTCTCGTTCTCAGTGACACTGCTGAAACTAAACACTAAACAGTGAGTGGAGAGAGCGTCAGTCACAAGTTAGTGTCACCGAAGTGGGCGAGGTGCCCAATCACTCACCAAGTCACTGTACTGTCAACCAACCACGGTTTGCCGCAGTTTGCTTGCGTTGGCAGGTAAAAGACTAGATCTAGATCTAGATTCTTGAGCAAAGTAGGCCCCTAAAATGACTTTTATTACAGTGCTAGATCTAGATCTTGACCATTTCGCAACATACAGAAGCTAGTCAGTGCAGATTCTTACACGTGCAAATTCAGAGTTTATTCATTTAACTCATTCGTGGGCAGCGGCGCGGCGAAAGTGTCTTCCGTACTTCAAGCCGCCCCGAGCACCCACCTATAATTCTAGCTTAGATTTTATTCTAATCTACGTACCATGTTAAAATAAAGGTCATAATATAACATTAACTTCCGGGTCAAGCGTTTCCATCGAAAATCAGAAGTTTAGATTCAGATTTGAAACGCGATTTCGTAGTTTATGCGACTTTGTTTTATCGTGATGCCAAAATTATAGCCTATACGTGTACACCAGTCTTAGTACTTTGACACAACAAAATGTATTAGTATTTTGCTCACTAAAGAAATGTAGGACACTTCTTTATAATATTGATACTATTGGACTCAAATTGCCAATGCACTGTTATTGAGAAATCAATATTTTTGAGTGCTAGATCTAGGTCTAGATTTTAGATCTAAATTGTCATATTTTCGAAGTGACTATTTCTCCGAACGTTCGGAGAAATAGTGCCGATCTTTATTTCTCCGAACGGTTTTCGGCTTCCGGTCTCATGATTTTTTGCCTATTTATTGCGAGAGTTCGGCGCCAACTTTCATTCTGCCTCTGGTCTGGGAAGGAACACGTACCGCATGGCAAGCCCGCCTACAGACAACCTTCAGTAACACCCACCACACACCCACCACCATCATGCACATGTACACACACTAACTAAACATAACTAGTGGGCAACTTTTGAACGTATGACGAGCTGAACTGTGGATGGAGAGACAGTGTGAGTGAAAGAGCGGGTGAAAGGAAGAATGTGCGAGTGTATCCACAGGCGACAGCAACTACAAGACGACGACACTGACCACCCCTGGCCTGGTCCACAGCTCACGAACAAAAGGAATGCAGCTCAGGCGGTGTTTTGCCTATATTATTGTCCATGGTTCGCAGGGAACAAGTGAGATTTTCTTTGTGTGTGCCTGGAGGGATGGGGTGGGGTATGAAAGTCATGCGGACGGGGATGAGCCGCGGGAGAGAACACGGGAATTGAATGAAAGAGTGAAACTGAAAGAGACGAATGACTCATGAGTCCTGGAGTGAATGGATCCTGTGTTTCTATTTTTGTATACTTTGAACTGTTACTGAATAAAGGCTGAAATAAAGCCCGAAAAACAAACAAACACACACACACACTCCTCACTCTCCACTTACTACCACACACAGACACACTCAAACACTCACACATACATACACACACACACACACAGGAGCAAATTTTTGGTTCTATATCTATTTCAATTTTCAACAGCTAGTCTAGATGAGATTTTTAGATGGGTGTAAAAACGTGAAAAAGAAAGGTTTCACAACAGAAAGAAATCAAAATTAGAACAGCCCATAAACAACAACAAACATTAATAAATAAGGGCGTGTGTCCACCTGTCCGAAGAAGATTGGCAGTTTTAACCCTAAATGTGCGTAATTTTAAAAAAAGTACAGGATATTACATGTAAATTATGGAATCACACACATTAAGGGGCTTGCCAGTGTCAGTGCAGCAGTGACAAACGCAGATGCCAGTTCTATGTGTCGTTATCAATAACCCTCCGTAGATCTAGATCTAGACAGCACACGAGTGAACACAACACATTACGTTTAAAAGCAGCACCCTTCATAGGCAACACGTCATATCTATAGCGAAAAACTGTTTGGAATTGTAGCATTTCTTTATATAAATATTTACGGCGGACATTTTTTGGACCGATTGAACCATATTGTATACGAACAATCTTTGGTAGGCCCATACTATAATTATAGATCTATATAATATCCGAAATTTGGGGGAAAGGATGGTATTTCAGAGTGTTCGGAGAAATAGTGCCCAGCTTTATTTTCCTGAACGTTCGGAGAAATAGTGCCCAGCTTTATTTTCCCGAACGTTCGGAGAAATAGTGCCCAGCCTTATTTTCCCGAACGTTCGGAGAAATAGTGCCGGCCTAATATTTTTTGGTCCCCAAAATCACTACTTTTTGGTGAATTTACACAAAAAGTGCCAGTCAAGACATAGGACAATAGGTTTATTCCAAATGCAATTCTGAATAATTCCATAAGATACGCATATTTTTATTTTTTTTGTGATCCTTTTTTTCAAGCTTATTATTTAAAAAAATAATTTTTTTTAAATATCGGATGTTATGATCCAAATGTACAAATATTATAGAATGTAGAGGTAAATAACTGAAAATCCTTTAATATTATCCCGTTGTATATTCATTTATGGTAATTTTGATGTATCATTTGACTAGTTCTAGATCTAGATCAAGGCCTAGATATATATATCTAAGTGCGAACATATTTTTTAAATTTTACCAAAGATTATTATTTTTTTAATTTTCAAATTTTATCAGCATCCAATCAAAATTGTGTTGCATAATCGACTCTTACAGGCGGAACCAAAGTTGAAAAATACACAAATAAACATTACAGATGTATTCGACAAACCATACAGAAAATTCTGGCGCTTTTTCAGTAGTTCCCACCCCGCAATTCGAGGGTTTTCGCCCCAAAGAGTAAGAGTTTCAGCCCCCTGACCTAATAAAAATAATGAAGTGACTATTTCTCCGAATGTTCGGAGAAATAATGCTGATCTTTATTTCTCCGAACGGTTTCCGGCTTACGCTCTCGTGATTATTTGCCTATTTACGAGAGTTCGGCGCCAACTTTCATTCTGCTATTCTGTGAGATCTGGGAAGGGCAAATCAAAGCTAGTATCTGTTCTCAGCTTCTCCTCCGGCCTTGTGCACACTGGTTTAGCGAGGCTGATACTGCCCAAGGCACCCGAGGAACGGAGAAATCTGCCCCTCTTTTCTATCGAGTGGACGGTTATCGTCCTTTTTTTTTTTAAAGGAGCAAATTTTGGGTTTAGATCTATTTCAGTTTTCAAGAGCTAGATCTAGTTTAGAGATTTTTAGTATAAAAGTGTAAAAACATGAAAAAGAAAGGTTTCACAACAGAATGAAATAAAAATTAGAACAGCCCATACACAACCTCAAAAATTAACAAATAAGGGCGTGTGTCCACCTGTCCGAAGAAGATTGGCTGTTTTAACCCTAAATGTGCGTAATTTTTTAAAAAGTACAGGATATTACATGTAAATTATGGAATCACACACAAGGGGCCTGCCAGTGTCAGTACATGTAATTGATTTTGGTGGAACGCTCTAACAAAACACATTTAAATCTATACATGTATATATATTAGAATCTACTGAAGGTACGAACATCAAATTAAATGACGTTACACTATACAACATCCCCCTTCCCTTTCCCCAACAAAAAAAAATTAATAGAAAAACAACACATCAGAACAATAACAAGAAAAAAAAAATACCCACCAACAAAATATATAACACCACAAAGAGGGAAAAATAAACGAAAAATAAAAGAGGAACAGCAATACAAATCGTAAGTAACTGTACTTTAGTAAAGTATTCAACAAATCAACGTGGTGACAACAAGTGAGAAAGAAACGAAGTGAAGCTAAGTTAACTTTCTTTCAAAAGTAAAGAGGTTCGGTTTCTTTAAATAAAATTAATATTTTTTTATTTGACTTTTCGGGGAACCAAAACATGCCCAAAAAATCGAGCCACGATTGATTGGTTGCGGCTGCGACAAACGCAGATGCTAGTTCTAGATCTAGGCCTATGTGTCGTTATCAATAACCCTCCATATATATCTAGATCTAGATCTAGACAGTACACGAGTGATCACAACACATTAAGTTTAAGAGCAGCACCCTTCATAGGCAACGGCAACACGTCATGTCTGTAGCGAAAAACTGTTTGGAACTGTAGCATTTCTTTAATGTTATAAATATAATTTACTGCGGACATTTTTTGGACCGACTGAACCATATTATTATTGTCTAGCCGTACTTAAGTACGGGTAGACAGCCAGGCTAGCCGTACTTAAGGACGGCTAGACTGTCAGGCTAGCCGTACTTTTAATTGATGGCTGAATTGTAAATGAAATTTTTAGTTTGTAAGTTTGCAATGCCTAAAGTATTTGTATTTCAGACAAAACCAAAAGGTGCCTTACTGACTTGCATGTATTTGAACCTGAATAATTACTAGATCCACAAGCCGAAAATAATACGTAGCGAATGAGTTAAACTTAAGGCAAGACTTCAACTTCACACTCACCGCTGACGCCATTTTTCAACAAAACAAAAAATGTTTGTTGACAGGTTGTGGCAAAGATGTGTAAAGTTTAGAATAATATATGTCCATACATTCAAGGTACATACACTGTATTTCCCATAATAACGTAATTGTGGAATGTATTTTTATCTGTGTTGATTAGACGTAGGCTATATATATTTTGAAATGTTAAAACTCTTCATGATTTGATTTCTATCATTAACTTTCACAATCTAGCTTCTAGATCTAGACCTAGACCTTATTGGAAAGCTAATTTGGTGGACAAAAACCATCAGAGAAATAACCGGAAGTGTAGTTACGTTGATATGTTTGGCGTTCAGAAATTTTGTCATCATGTCATGTATCTCAAACTTCGGTGGAACCTCACTTAGTCCCACGGTCACACAGTAAAGGTAATTTAAACAAGAATGAAAAGAAATGCCCTTTTCAGACTAATGTGGAATTTTAATTATAGAAATCTAGATCTAGAAATCTAGATCTAGACTAGATCTAGATTTCTACAAAGATAGGAGGGCGGTCGATTTTGTAGCTTTTCGTTCGTTAAAGTTAAAGTTAAAAAGTCAAAGTCAAGACGTCAAGAGTAGCTCAGTAGGGGGGGTCCCTGACCTAACAACAACAATTATGGAGGTGGGGGGTTCAGGGCATCCTAACTTGATGTTTTACAGTTAGGTTGCGTCCTTGCTCTTTATGTAGCCTATTTCAAATAGTATTTGGTCATCAAGACTTCTGGATTTCTTCTCTGGATGTAAACAAATGGATCGTGGACTTTAAGTTACTTTAACTAACGGAACTACAAGATCACCGACTTACTCTTACTTACCCTTGCCTTACTAACTTTAGGCTAGGTTAGTTAGGTCTTGATCTAGATCTAGATTTAGATTAGGGCCACCTATATTCTCACCCCGGGTGAGAATAGCGCTGGCGAGCCTTTTGGCTATGAAAGTGGCTATTCTCACCCGCCCGGAAGTTCTCGCAAGATCAACTCCTCCCCTCTTCTCTCTCTCTCTGTCTCTTTCTGAATACTGTCTATGGGTGTGGACGATCAAATTGACCAAAACAAAGTTAAAAAATGATGTTAAAACACAAAAGTAAATTCATTTGGTTCTCTGCAAAGATGCTACGGCTATAAATTTAACTTTTCGAATCGAGCCGAACTACGCGGGTCGCCATTTTGTTTTGCCCGGAAATTCTCGCGCTACTCCTCTCTCTCTTCTCTCTCTCTCCACTGCCCACTGACAAAATTGTACGCTTTTAGTAGGCTACAGTTGTAATGGAACGTTTGTTCACGGCACAGAATACTACAATTTTTCTGTTATCACAGTGTAGAATTCTGTGGTTTAGGGTGAACGCAACATCTGGTGAACACGCACCGGGTGAGAATAGCCACAAGAATCGCCTGCACTATTCTCACTCCGGATGAGAATAGAGGTGGCCTTTGGCTATTCTCACCCGGTGTGCGTTTATAGTTTATCGTAGCCTAGCCTGGCCTAGGTCAACCAGTGTAGCGTTCACCCTGAACCACAGAATTCTACACTGTGATAAACAGAATGGTAGAATTCTGTGCCGTGAACAAACGTTCCAGCGCTCTTGTGTTTCTAATGTTAGCTTAAAAGCCTTGCAATTTTGTCTGTGGGCAGTGGAGAGAGAGAGAGAAGAGTAGCGCGAGAATTTCCGGGCAAAACAAAATGGCCATAAATTTGGCTCGATTCAAAAAGTTAAACAACCGTAGCATCTTTGTACACGACCAAATAATTTACTTTTTTGTTTTAACATCATTTTTAAACTTTGTTTTGGTCAATTTGATCGTCCACACCGATAGATAGTATTCAGAAAGAGACAGAAAGAGAGAGAGAGGGGAGGAGTAGATCTTGCGAGAACTTCCGGGCAAAACAAAATGGCGAACCCCGTAGTTCGGCTCGATTCGAAAAGTGAAATAGCCATCATAGCATCTTAGTAGACGACCAAATTAGCTTACTTTTGTGCTATAGCGTCATTTTTTCTTTGCTTTTGTCAATTTGATCATCCACACCAATAGACAGTGTTCCGAAATTAGGAAAAATAGGTCTTGTTTCACACCAGGTGAGAATAACCAACCTAGCAAGTCTCAACCGGGGTGAGAGGTCGATTGTATTTTTATTCTCACCCCGGGTGAGGATAGCCACTTCCTTAGATTAGATTTAGATCTAGATCTAGTTAAAGATTAAAAGTTAAGGCGTTAAAGTTAGGAGAGTCATAGTCTGTCTTCGGCTTCGAGTCTTAAAAACTCATTCACTAAGTGTCTTCCGTACGCCAAGCCGCCCCCGACGGCTCGAGCACCGACCTATAATTCTAGCTTAGATTTTATTCCAATCCACATATATATCCATGTTAAAGTAAAGGTTAATATAACATTGACTTCCGGGTCAAGCGTTTCTACCGAAAATCGGAAGTTTAGATTCACTTTTGAAACCCGATTTTGTAGTTTATGCTACTGTTTTATATCACGAAGCCTAAATTATAGCCCAGTGACCAGTCTTAGTACAGTCAAACCTGCCCTGACGGCCACCTCTATAAGATGGTCACCTGTACAAACGGCCACTTTCCATTTCCCCCCCTTGCGTTTTTTCTATATAATTTAACTGTGTAAAACGGGCACCTGTCCAACGCGGCCGCGGCCACCATATTTTAACACACAACCCCTATCACACAAAGCAAATACACCTGTCTAAGACAGCCATCTTAGTGACTCCATTACGTTTTGTCATAAATCTAGCATTGGGCTCTTGCGTCGTGGGCGAGCCGTCATAATCTAATCACCTGTCGTTGTTGTTAGGTAGTCCCTCCAACCGATCATGTTGCGTAGGCCCCTCCCACTGTTGACCAATAGGTAACAAAATTAATTTTCAGCAGCTGGTGAGGTAAGCGTGTGATCCCTCATATCCCATAAGCCCGGCCCAGAATTCATACATACAAATCATAAGTGAGATGAGTGGTCACTGTTTACCCAGTCTGTAACAAAGGACGTCAACCTGAACTTGTGACAGAATCGTCGCTCGTTCTCCGAACGGTAGCAACATGTGTGTTTGTTTTACCATAGCACCCGGTCCTCATTGTCTCACACATTTCGTTTTATTGTCACCCTTGTACAAAAGCAGCAACAAAAGAAAAAGAGAGAAGAAAAAACCCAGCGAAAACAACAACAACAACAACAACATAAAACAACATAACAACAACAACAACAACAATGCGGCCACCTTCGGGTGGGACCTCAGAAAAGATTGGTTTGTTTTCTTCATCTTGATCAGTCCTGCCTAAGACGGCCACCTGTCTTATACGGCCACTTTTCTCCTTGACAATGGGTGGCCGTCTTGCACAGGTTCGACTGTACTTGTTTTTTTTGTTTGTGGTCCTTTTTTCCAAATTAAAATTTTTTTTGTTTTTCAATATCGGATGATGTTATGATCCAAATGTACGAATATTATGAAATGTATGTGAATAAACAGCAAATTTTTCAATATTTTCCAGTTCTATATACATTTATGGTTATTTTGATGTATCATTTGACTAGATGCAAACATATTTTTTTAGTTTCACCTGAGATTATGATTTTTTATTTAAAATTTTTTTCCGCAAAAGTAATATTTTAAAAAAGGCACTGCAATCTTCATGTTTACTTGGCAAATTATCAGTTTCAGAATAGCTATGGAAGGGGAAGGCAATTTCCAAAGAGCGCCAAAAAGTTGTTTATCAGACTTTGATGATTAGATGATGATGATGTATGTTTGAGTTTAAATCAGTGTTTGGTCAATTAATTGAAGGTAGCGTCAATTGCCTGTAAATTTTTACTTTCAATCCGGCACACAGATGCACTGCTTTGGAGGTCAAACTGCAGTACTGTTTGCTGCAGATCAGACATAAAGCCACTAAAACTGTCGCAAATTAATTATTTTCTAGAAAATTTCAAATCTAACTGTAAAATATCAAATTATGGGTGAAAAACAAGGGGGCATGCCCCCCCTGTAATTTCTTAGTTTTTATTTTGTACTTTAGCCTACAGTTCTGTGTAGAACCAACACAGGCGATTCTAGAAGTAGACCACAAACGCACACAAACTCAAGCAGAAATTCATATCAGGGGGACGCGGGTTAGGGAAGGAGAGACTTCCCCCCCCCACACACACACACACAGAGGGACAAAGAGGTGTGCGTAAGCGGAGGTTCGCGAACGCAGAACACCGACCGAGCACACATATAAGCTAGATCTACTCACCAACGCAAAAGAACTCCAATTTATTCGGTGTCAATTGTCACAGTGTCACTCGGTGGCAAATGACACTACCTTAATTGAATCGTCAAGGCCAAGGCCTGGCCTTGGCCCTCTTCGGGAGAAGTGGTCCTGGCCTAACTCCATAGACATTTAGAATCTAGATCTATACACAAAATCGGAAATAAAAATAGAAGTCGAGTAAAAAAAACTTGCCGAGTTGCCAGGGTGAAAGACCACCTGTAAATTTATAGGTATGGTCATAACCAATTTGAGACTATTTGCAGCACTATTCTAATGTTTTTTGTGTGCTGAGAACAATTTCGGCACTAAAAACTGCCACAAACCATTATTTTGTGAATTTACCGCCCGGGCGGGGGGGGGGGGGCTTTTTTTTTAGAGCCAGCTCCCGGTTTTGTTTCCGATTGTGTACATAATGTATAAATAAATGTCTATGGAGTTAGGCCGGGACGACTTCTCCTAAAGAACCCTTGCCTTATTTAAGCAATAGAAACGAAGTGGCTACCCTCCTGTACACATAGCATCAAGGCTATGTGTACGGCCCTCCACTTCACATAATAAGCTAGGCTTTGTAGGCGGCCCATAAACTATCAAACCGGACAGTACAAGTGGACAAATTAGCCTGGGAAGCGCGCAGGCCTTATTATAAAGGGTGTGAGCCAGGCTACCCGGGAAGCAGGCCCTATATATAGTAGGATTATGGCTGACCTACTTCGACCGGGAAGGGCACAGGATAACGGGCATAGACACTGACCTTTTTCAATGGTAAATTTCAGTATTCCTTATATATGGAAAATGACGTGGTAAATCACAGGTCAAAGTTATAAATAGTGACCAATGACTTAACAAGTTATCTTGACCTTGTAGAGCGTCTCTTGGCCAAGATATCGATATTGACGCGGTCCAGCTGAGCGATTATCAAGGCTTTGAGATTTAAATCTATACTTTAGAGGGGCGTATGCGTACGGGAGAGACGTACGTATAGCCTTAGGCTAGAATAAAAGGCAAGGCTGAAGGTGTGTGGTGGGGTAGAGCTGTGCCCATTCGACTTTGCTATTCAACATTCATGATTTTTGCACTATTCGAAGTGTGGCAGGGCAATTCGAATGTCGTAGTGATTGCTTCTCAAGTGGGTTGCTGCTTGTGTTAGGTGATTTTCACTGTGATACATGAGCTGTACAAACCATCTTGCTGGCTCGTGCCGCACACACGGCCGATGTCTCATCCAAACCATGCTGAAAACGAAATAAAAACCATGCTTTGTGGGCTTACTATGTAACTATGTTTCATCTGGTCGAAAAGGGATCAACCAATGCACCTATCCACAAATTTCATTGAAAAAATCATCTTTTGACATGATGATTTATGTCAACCAATAAATTAAAAAATATTTACCTTTCTTTTGGTACCAGTATCGTGGCAAGTATAATTTTTGAGAGAATGAAACTGTTTTTTACCTCTCCTTAAATAGTTTGCTTTTGAGTCTTTAGGACATTTGAACTGCTTGCCAACAATGTATAATTAATGTATTTTTAATACTATTATAATGACACTGTGTGAGACATATGAACCAACAAAATGCGAGCTGCGAGAAATATGACATGAAGATCCGTATTAGCAAGACCGAAGTCATGACAATTAGCAGGAGACCAGACAAAGTCAACATCAATGGATCCCACCTGATCCCAACTAAAACAAAGCAGCAGATTCAAATACTTCGGCAGCACTTTCACAGAAAATGGAAAATTAGATAGAAAAATAGAGGCTAGATGCCAGAAAGCCAACGCAGTCAGCTATCAACTCTGCCCTCTCCTGAGACATCCTAATATCCCCATGAGCACCAAGGCAAAGCTCATCAACGCCATTTTCCTACCAACACTCGCATATCAGTGCCAGACATGGTCCCTAACAAAAACCCTCGAGAGGAAACTGGTTACGTGCTAGATGAAATGCTTAAGAAGAGCGGTTAACGAAACAAGAAGAGACACAGTAAAAAATAAATTCATCTTAAGGGACACCGTAGGAGCAACACCAGTCCTACTGCACATTGAAAAACAAAAGATCAAGTGGTTCGGAGACCTCACGCGGATGCCCTCAAGCCATCCAGCTCTGAGAGCATACAACATTAAATATTCTGGCTGGAGAGCCAGAGGAAGACCAAGACGACGATGGAGTGAATCTGTGGCATACACCCTCAGAGCTCACAGGATATCCCTCCTACAGGCCACAAGCCTTTCTGCAGACAGATGCCTGTGTCTCTCCGCGACACCCACTGGTACAAGCGGAAGAAAAAAGTAAAAGTAAAGTAAGTGTGAGACAGCCACCAGTCTCATACAGCTACTTTTGTCTTTGAATCGGGACTTAAGAAAGGGAACATTACAGCTTGGAGTACATTTTTGACTCACTACACTTTACCAAGGTTTATGAATGAACAACTGAGTACATAATACTAAGGTTTATGAACCGAACAGTTTTTGAAGTCTTTTTTTTATGCAGATCACTTCAGCTTATTTCGTAGTAACTAAAACTTTGTAGGTAAAGTACTAATTGGATTTTATAAAAAATAGTACTTTTTAATATCTCTGTAAAAAATACTTTCATTCATTTGCCTTGCAGGTAACTTTTAATATGAGAGGATCCAGTACAGTGTGGAAGTGCGGACTATAAGACGATCATAATGGCAGAACTATTGATGTTGACCAAGAAGCGAGTGCTGGCTTTTGTTGGTTTTCTATCTTTGTAAGTTCATGGATAAATCATGGATAAACCACTCTGTTATTAACTTAATTTTTTAATTTAATTTTAGTGTTGTAAAATTAAACGTTACGATTTGGTCTTTAAAAATATAGGCTTGTAACTTACATACCCTGCTATGAAAATTCAAATCATTGTCATCTAAACATGAATGAGAGGGACCCTGATGTGGCAAAAGTTTTGATGAGGATTTCTTAATTTGCACAAACATTTGTGTCACGCCATGGTGGAATCAGGTGCTCGTTAAATTTTGGGCATGTGGAGTTAATGGTATCATCTGAAAACTTATTATTTATTTGCCTGGCTTCTAATGAAATAAATATCCTTTTATCTTGAAAAGAATTCAAGATATTTTTGATTGAAGGAAGTGAGGTCGCCTGATTTCAGTGGTGAAATAAGTGAGAAAATAGACGCCTAAGTTTGGCAACTCTATTTGCTAAGGTGTCTTTGAAATCTGAAAAATGACATATTTTGTGCCTTTAATTAATGTTTTTCAGTAAAATTCACATGGAGATATGTTTTTATATAAACATAAAAGAGGTTAAGCCCAAAAATAAAAATTGGATAAAATTTTCAGCACTGGCAGGAAAATGCCTGTTTCTCAGATTTCATTATTTTGGTGAGCGCTTGATTTCACCACGCTACGTCACATTTGTAGTCTGATGCATGCACAAAAATTTCATGTAAACAATTGTTTAAGTATGATTGATAGTGTGTCATAGTCTCATTCTGACGTAATGTTTAAACACTGTTTTCTGTTGTTACACGGGTGAAAGTTCAGTGAGGCAAAGTATTCAATGATCATCATGATGTGTTTCAATGTTGATTATAATTGTTTTATATGGTGTGAGGAAATAAATTCTTGATAGTCAAAGGACAGTATATATATTCAGATATATATTTTTAAAATTCAAGACAAGTTTCAAGTAATTTGTTAACTTATTGTCAGCGTTGTTACATTGATTTTAACGAACCAGTAAACAAAAGCTCTTTTTTTTTTTCTTTCAAATCAGGATAATGTTCACAACTTTGATCTTGAAAAGTCACTGGGACTATACAACTCAGCTTGCCAGACAGGAAGAGGAAATAAAGAGCAAAGGTTTGTCCACTAGGAGATTTTATTCTGGATAAGTTTATCTGTTTATTTTCTGTCACAAATGTAATAGTTGTGTCATACTAAAATGAACTGGCTTTGAAGTGTTGCAACAATCCAGATTTTCTAACTGTTGATTTTATGGTTATCTTGTGTAAATGCATTCTCTACTGGATCTGTTTTCTAAAAACGTGTCAAGTTGAGAAGATATAATCATATATTTGTGGACTGACTTCCTATCATTATCGAGTATTGTAATTCTTAGATGGAAAAGCTTGATTCCATAAAAATTTTCCAATATGTTGTTTGTCACAGACAGTCACCACAGGATGAAACAAAAATGCCCTCAATTAGCACAGCACTTCTAATATTATTGATATTTGTTTTGTGAAGTTGTGACTGCCCAATTTTCTTTCAAATGATATAAGCTACATCTATTTGGTAGGGGTTTTTGTTCATAAGCCTATCCAAATTAGGATAAATTATCCTTATGTGTTGTTTGTCATGAAAACTAAAAAGAGGAAAAGAGGTACTCCGGTTTTACTCACTTTTTAAAAAATGTCTTATACTTTTATTTTCCTCTATCAGTCAAGAAGTCCAGTCCATGTGAATCATACACGGAGGTATCAAGGTGTGAACGCTGTTCTAAGGAAGAATTGGTAATGATGCTTTTAAAAAAAAATTGGTCATAAATTATATGTTTTGCTTATTGCGTACTACCAAAGCTAAAATTGGATACAAAACACTTTGTAGTCATTCTCTAAAAGTTTTGTTGTCGTTCTACAAAATATAAACACATCAGACACTTCTTTGCAGGTTGTCACTGTTGTAAAAACCAAAAAAAAGTAATTGTTTACTGCAATGTCTTGTGCACTTGGCTTTGTCAAAAGCAAGGAGCTTACTTACTCCAAGCATGTGTGAGGGTAGCTGTTTCGTGTTGAATTTGCAGGAGTATTTAAGGTTTACAGAGTATTTAGAATTATGGAACTGATCAGAAAGCAGAATCCTATCATATCTATTAAACTTCTTTAAATACTTGTCCATGTTGCTGCGTTATAGCCTACTACGCCACACCCCTGATCTTCTGGTAAGAAAGATCTACACATAGCCTTCTCGGACAAGGGCGAAAACTTTCGGAGGTCCCGTGTGCAAGTTGGGCACGTTAAAGATCTCTTGGTGGTCTAAAATCGATAAGAGTGGGCTTCGGCTGCCACCCGGCAAAATTCAAACTTTACTACCAACTTAAAATGTTTGATGTGTCCTGTGCGCTCATATAACCTTATGCAGTTGCGAGCGCCGTAAAACAATTACCCCCCCCCCCCCCCCCCCAAAAAAAAAGAGTAAAAAAGCCTGCTACCTTGGGCCCTGGCTATAACAGGCCCCCTGTGACTAATGTGATATCCCTGTTATGGCCAAATTCTGTATGGGGATCAAGTTTACATACAATTTAACTTAATACTAAATATTAATGATTGAGATCATTTTTATTACACAAAATACGCATTACCAATTTATCTGTTATTTCTCCTTTTCTCCTTTCCTTTTTTTTTTTCTTTTTTTTTTTTCTGGGTGGTCTTATTTTTTTCTCCTCATCTTTATCTTTCTTTTCTTGATATCCACATCTCATTTAGATTGACTGGACTTCATTTGAGATGCATAAATAATAAAAATAAAAATTGCATTTATATAGTGCATATTCTGTACAGCATACTCTCTGCACTTTATAACTATTCATAATCGAACAGTTGCCACAATCCCAAATTTTGGGAAAGGAATGCATACATCTGTGGTAGATGTAGCACCCAGTGCCTACTTTTCATTCAATCATTTTTTTCCCATTACAAGTCTCGGCACTCCATGAGGAGACTTACAATGTGGGACCAGACACAAGGTCACAATAAGTCACTGACTGGATTTGCAACACCACCAAAGTGCATTCAGCGTTCCACTTCCTTCCCCTGCCCACACTGTATTACACATCATAAAATGCGTACACAATCAACAAGTTAGGCCTACTGTGGGTCACATAGATGTAGTTCACCCTGTTGGCTGTTGTTTTGTTTTATTTCAATGTGTTTTTAAGGGTTTTGTCAAGTCTGTCCAAATGTCTGCAATAAAAGAACTTTTGTACAATACGTCATAAGAGATCGGACTCAGAGATTTATAAGAGCCTGTTATAACTGAAATCATGTTATAGAAAGGGCCGTCTGTATCTTACTGATTGTGTGAAGTTGATGTACCATACTCATACTTATCATTTCAGAGAACGCTGGTTAAGCATTGTATGGAGACTGGGTTTAAACAGCGCATTAGATGTTCTGACGGCAAAGAAAGTTTTTTGTGGTAAGTTCATCTCTAAATTCTGACACTTTCATTAAATTGTTTTATTGAATCAATTCAAGAAAAGCATGAATTAGGGATTGAAGCTCATGATTTTTTGTCTGACAGAACTATGAAGACACAAGGATGTGTATAGCTTGATGTGTAGAAATTAGACAATTGTTTTAATAGGTAGAATGTCTTTGAACTCTTTTGATTGATAAGTCTGGAACGCATACTATCAAAATGGGGTGTTTTTAAGGAAAAAAAGAAGCAATTTGAACAGGGTTTTTCCAAGAAATTTAGGGGGGTACATTTTTTGTTTTTTACCACAAAAAGAAATGTATTCTAAAGGTTTGAGATATTTTCGCAAAGACAAGGCTTGTTTTGTGAAAAGAATGTACTAGTAAATGTACAGTTTACGTTTTTGGAAATGAAAGATGAACAGTATTTTCTTGGTTTTCTCTCGGAATGTTTAAAATGTTAAGTTACAATGTATACTAGGCCAATGAGCAGTTGCAGTAGGCTATTATTACCGAGGCTTTGATGTAGCGGTTTCATGCTTCATTATCACATATAGGAGGTCTGAGAAGGGAAAATTTGTATTGATTATCTCAGTTTTTCTACAGAGATGTTATAACCCTTTAACAGGCAGGGTCAAAGTCTGGCTCCTAAATGATCTAAATTGTGTCGATGTGGAGCGTAAAACCATTTACCTTAGAAAGAAAAATGTATATTGGCATATATTTTTTTTACAAGAAATTTTGTTTCTAAGACTGGGTGTTTTGTTTTTAGAATTCATTTTCTGACATTTTTGTTTTAGGTGTGATATTTCTCCAGCAGTAGAAGAGAGTGACTTCTGGAGGTTTCAAGCAATAGTTCTCACAGTGGGTCTCATATCATATGCAGTTGTGTACCTCAGACAGCAAAAGTTGGACCAAAAGCTGATGGACAAAATTCACAAGCAAATATCAGCAGGAGTATGACACTGTGTTCTGTATTTTGTTTCATCATCATACGAATTTGATGTATCATATTCATCGATTGTTATTATTTTTATTTTTATTTAAGTTGTTTATTTCGGATGTCAAGCGGCTTGTATGAGGGCAGCACTTGCTAGTTCTACTATTTTTCAATCGGTTATATTTTCTTTTCGTCAGACAGTAGTAAGTGGGTTTTTTTGTGCTTCCCTCTTTATTATGCAGTGGGTGTCGCATTCAACGAGGTTGCCGGGACCGGCTTGTTGTCCTATCTGGATCCGACCTCTCGTTGAACGTGACTAAGGCTAAAGACAAGAAAGTAGACAAGTTATTATATTACACGATGTACCAATACCAGTAATTAAAACAGTTGTTCCCCCTGATGACGAAAATCTCAAACAGCATCAGTGTGCGCATGTTTGAGCTGTGTTCTGACCGTCATTTCTGCCTTAAAAATTTATTTTTTTCGGAACACTTCTCACATCTAGGATTCTTGGCCTAGATCTACGTAAAGTAAAGGTTGGAGCTTGAATTTTCTGATCGGGGGAAGAAAAGAAAATTGAAAAAAATGAAGGTCTCGATCTAGACCTACCCATCCAGAGTTCATCCAGTTTCACACAGTCTGCATCACGTTCCCACCCACCCTTTCCCGTCCCTACCGTTGGCTAACCCTCGCCCATCCTCTTGGCTTTGGAGCACATTATATAAGTACATGTATTAGGAGGCACACTAGATAGCAATACAATCATTGGGAATGGAGGATGGGCCTTGTGCTTCGCATGAGATTGAGAGGAAGGAGAAAAATTCTTCGCTTTTGAGGCCGCTAATTGCTTTAGCGACTTCCGTTTGTTTGCAATCTCGTTGGAGCTGACGTACATTTGCAAAGAGATATAGAGGAAAAAATCGGGGATTAAGGATTGCCTCGTTGGAGCCGACTTCTCGTTGAATGTGACCTCGTTGAATGCGACACCCACTGTACAAGTAGTTAAGTGTTCAAGATTTTTTGTGGCTGTCCTTTTTCTTTTTACTCCCTATCTCCAGCATGCTGCTCCCAGTGGCTCACAGTCAAAACCGCTGTGCCGGTGAGCTGCTGACAGCGGCTTGGGCACATTCCTTTACGGAGGCTTGGGCGTTTAATAAGTTTCAGAGGTCTCTTTTACCTGACGTTCCTTCATTAGATGAAGAAGTATCAAAACAGGTTCCATTTTAAAGAATTGAATAACCAATTTAGTGACGTAAAAGTCACTTTTAGATTTCGTACCAAAAGAGGGCCCCGGCATGGTGGGTTTACCCCCCTCTAAGACAAAAAGTTAATGGTTGTGGGAGTCTTTGCTTAGATGATTTATCAGCTGTCTTGTACAATGACTATCTGTAAAGCTAACAACCTGTACCAGATCAAATTTTCTGGACTGCATTTCACAGAAACCAGTGGTTTCAAATTGAAAAGTCAATCATGTATTGTTTGTCATGTTTAAGACTATGCACATGAAATTGAAATCGGAAATAATGTTACTGCACTGGGAAAGTGCTCTCGGGGCTTGCAAACACCTCTTATAACACCTGTTTGAATAAGCAAACTATGAACATTTTGTGTTCTGAGGTAAAATGAAAGTAGGAGTAGAGAGATATTTATCTTCATGAAAACAGAACAGAAGTGATACTTGTTCCTCTTTCCCAGTACACAGGAATAGAAGTTGAAAAAAAAAATGGGAGGGCAGAGAGTATTGCCTCATGTCAAGTATTTTGTCACGACATGTCCTTTTGATTGCCATGTAAATGATTGGTGTCTTGAATTATCTTATCAATTATTTGAAAAGATTTATATTTTGCTTTGTATATTGCCACAAAGGTGGAAATTTGTGTTATGATTTATAAGATGGAATTGTACAAAGTACAGCTCTTGTTTTGTGAGATGATATTGAAATGATGGATCTTTTTAATCTTCAACAACAATGAGTTGGGGGGGGGGGGGGTTGTTGTTTTTTTTAAAGTAAGGTAGAGTAGATTCATTTTGTGACTTGGGGTTGGGGGAGACTGGGATATTCCCTCTATTTTTTAAAACATAAATGATTGTCTCAGCAAATTGGCAGTTGAAAGAAAAAAAAATAAGCAAAGCAGTAGAAAACTAATCTTTTGTTTTCATTGTATTGTTAGAAATGACTATGTGCCAAATGACAGAGCAATGAGTAATGCATTTGTTCCAACATTTGTCAAAGTATGTAAAAGCAAAGGTAAAAAAAAAGATTAATGGACATAGAAAAAAAAATGAAGGCTTGGTTTAGAGGAAAACATGAACAATTAGATCTAATAGGGACTGTGACTAAAAATGTGTACCTCATCACACATTCCCATTGGTTCACTGAAACTGTGGTTGCTTAATTCATCCTGCATGCATAAAGATCCTTTATAACTTTTTTTGTTAATTTCAGAGAGGCAAAAAGACGCTTCTGCTCCAGAAATGTCAGAATAAAATCCTCCTTGTAGGAAGTAAAAGTTCTGTGCAAATGTCACTTTTTCTTCTGAACGTGTCTTGAAAGTAGACTTTCGTCTTCTTTGTCTGTGCAATCCCCATTCTAATGCTCAGATCGGTTTAATATAGGTTCTCTCTCTCTGATTGAGCATGTATGGCTGTTTCTCTGCTAGAATATAATGGCTCTTATCTTTACGACAGTCAGTCACGCCCTTTTTTGGAAGAGACCCTGAATAATTCATCTATCGTTGCTTTATTCTGTGATTTTGTTTCCAGGGCGTGGGTAGGGTTAGGAAATATCCTTGAGAAATTTGTAATAAACAGGGTCTATAGCAGTCAATGGTGGAGGCCTTATGTGTATGTTAGTGCAAAGAGGACTGGTTTTTCATGAATTGTTAATCTGATATTCAGCATGTTCTTACCCAATCCTTTATTTTATATATTAATTCATTCACCCTTCCGCACAGAGAAATTGCTTTGTACATAGATCAGTGTAGAAGATGTTGTAATAAAGTTAATAATTCATATTTTGATATTATGTAACGGTTCTTTTGGTCTTGAATTTAATCAGTGTCTGTGGTGTAGCAGTAAGGGGTTTCACCATCATATGCAAAAGACCAGAGTTCAATTCCTTGTATGGGGAGCAGTTTTATCAAGTAGCCTTTCTCAATCTTTTTGCTAGGATATTAAGCCAAGGTTGGTCTTCAACACTCTTAGCAGGCGTGGTTGACGCCGTTCTCCGATATGATTTGAATCGTGTTGATGGGGGAGTAAAAACACCTACATTTACACGGGGGGGGGGGGGGGGGGGGGATTGTTGCAATGTGTGTGTCATCAAACGCTCCATCTCTATCATACAAGTGTAAGTTGGTTGTATAATGCATGTAATGGTTGTATAATAGTAGAGAACTCTGCCATACCCTGTTTTGAAAGGTGACGTATGATGGAGTCTTACACTGAGCAGTTGCATATGCTTTATTTTTGCCCTTATCTAAGCGGCACTGTTCCTTTTAACAGTTGTACTGACAGGCTGTGGGTTATGGATAATTTTTTTTCTTGAGTGCAGTTTTTAGTAATTGCAGCGAAAGGGTTATTGAACTTGGAAATTTAAAAATTTTTTTTTTCATTTTGAATATCCATGAGGTAGTGAAGTTTTATAAAATAAACTCTTTTGCCTTCAATGAAAAGACCTTTAAAATGTGTCACCTTGGGGTAGGGGGTGGGGAGTATATTTCTGGCAGTGTACCACAATACAAAAATAATGATCGAAGTTTTAGTGAAATATTTGAAAATTGTTACATTAGTACAGTCTAGCATGCACATAGCAGAATAAGTGGGATGTGGATATCTTTCTGCTATGTACGAATTTCTCTATGGATGAAATTTAGGTTATAATATATATATAAGAGAAAATGTTGGAACCTGAAAATAGCTATGTGCATGCTAGACAAACAAGAATATAATTGTCTTGAATTTAATCTTACTCAGTTTTGTATCAATGTACGGTACCTAGATGATGACTGTGTCTTCTATACAATGTTGTGCCTGTTTGAGATCCTGCACTGTGTTTGAAATTAAAGCACAACAAGTTGGCACTCAAGTGGGAACATTTTCTGTTTGTTCATGAACTTGTCGAAAACTGTATGAGTGTGGTTGCCGTTATTGTTGATACTCTTTGGGTGATCATGTTTAGGACTGAAAATTATGTACTATGCTCATGAATAATAGTATGTGTCTGTGTGGGTTTTTTGACAGAAATGTTGGAATGGTCCAACACCTTTGTACCCTTGAAAGGTATATATGTTATTTATTATTAATGACTTGGGATATTTTTCAATAAACTTGTTTTAATTGATGAACATGTGTGTCCTTAAATTATTACCTTACACTTATTGCCATATTAAAATCTAATATAATCCTGG